GCCGAGACATAAGCCAAGTCAGGTTCCAACAAACCCTTGGCCTTATGATTCGGAGGTTTGACAAACGAATCCACCGATGACCTCACTGCCTCTAGTTGCCTACCCAGAGCAACTTGATCGACCATATCGTAACCAGTCCCAGCTGGGTCTGGTAGGATGGTATGAGATTCGCCCTAATCAATCCTAACATTCTTCTCTCAGATAGAGACTCCTGAAGCCTGCCAAACATTATCTTCATCGCCGCTACATAAACGCCTATGGACTCGTTCGCTCCCTGAGTCCTTCTCCTAATCTCATCTAGTATGAGATCGTCGTAACTGGGGGGCAAAAAAAATTTCAACTCTCTTACTAACTCCTTTCAACTACCTAATGGTTTCCTGACTGACCTAAGTCATAACAACGCCTTTTCTACAAACAGGTCTACCGCGTGCCTCGCTCAACTCCTCAACCCTTTCTATAAATGCGAAAAAGGATGCTCCCGCTTTTTCGCCGTCAAAGTGGGACCTCCACTTTGTCCCACTTTGACAAGTGGAGGTCCCACTTTGACAAGTTCACCGGCATCAGAGACTCGACTGTCTCCTCGACCACGCGTCGGATATCCACGGGCGGGGTGCTATCGGGTCCGCACGAGAGGCATCCGAGCACTTTACCAAACCAACTACCTTTTCTTCGGATTCTTCGCTGCCGCCTATCTCTAGTGGCTCGACGAGATGGAGCAACAACTTGCTCTTCAGCTCCATCTGCTGACTCATCTCGCCATCATTGCCCGGTCGCGCCCGATCTGTTCGCGAAAGGCACCACTCAATCTTTGCCATCGCTCAAAACCGACGGAAATAAACTTTCTACCTCCACCAGTTTCGATTCGACCGCCGTCTTATCGTCATCGAAACTAATGAGGTAGTCTTGAAAGAGGTCCACCGACCCGACGCGACGCTCTTAGCGACTGGAAGACCGCGTGCCTCCATCTCGTACGCGAGCTCATCCTGCGCTAACCGATTAATTTCTTTATTAAAATTAGCAAAAAAAACACAAATTCGATAATAAAAAAAATAAAAACTAAAGAAGAAATATTTATTTAAAAAAGTTTTATTTATTATTAACATGAACAACAACAATAATAATAATATTCTTCGCGTTGCCCTTACTGGCGCAATAAAAGACCCTAGCACGAAAATAACAAAAGCGCCTAACCACACAAAACAAAAAAAAAATATTAATGAAAAAAGCGAAAATATCGTCTACGGTGACAACACAAAAATTATTGAAATAATCCTTTGAATAAAATAAAAAAATATTTAATTACTGACAAACACAAAAAAGTTTTTTTTGCGGCCAGTACGCGACAACATCTTTGTTGAAATCAAGGCTAATTACAATCTGCGTATTTTTCAGGTAAATACTTCATCCCCCACACATTACACTAAAACTTGTTAAACACTATTGGATATATTTTTTGTTAGTGTCAAAAATACTAATTTTTGACCAGCTATCCGTTCCGAAATTTTCCAAACACGACCTCATTTTTCTGATATTAGATTTTAAGCTAGATTTTAATACAGTTACATATTCCTATAGAGATTTCATGAATATCAATTATGAAAGTCTTGCAGAAGCTTATGGTGTCATACTCTGGAAGTCTGTCTACATTGTGGTCTCTGCAGACGAAGAGATTAACGTTTTCGAATCAAATATTATATAAATATTTTATTTGGACAGAATCTGCCGCTTGTAACGAAATCTAACAACTCATGGAAGCAAATTTTTTAAGTGGGTCAGTCCAGAGTCCGCTTCCCGGAAAGAAGAATGGCCTAACTTTAAGAACAAGGCAGCCCTGGCCAACTTTCCTGAGTCTAGTAGTCTTCCTTTTAATCTAAGCATAAAGTCATCTATTCACTGAGTTTCAGCTACTTCGAACGATAAATGCAACTTCTTCGAAAAGTTTGGTCCCTAGCCCACTTCCCGGAGAGAGAGTAATCTTATTTTTGGTCCGTTTTTTTTGGAAAGGAGTGCGGTTTTCCTATTAATCTAAGCAAAAAGCCATCTATGTACAGAGTTTCAGATTTTTTTTAATATATTAGTCCCCGCTCTACTTCCTGGAAAGAAGAATAATCATTCTGTTCATCTGAGCAAAAAATCACCAATGTATCGAATTCGATGTAAATCGAGCCATAAATAAGAACTGTTTAATAGCTCAGCCTTCCATTGTTAATCTATGGAACTTTGCCTATGATATTACTACCTGTGTACCCAATTTCAAGGAAATCGAAATAATAAGATTATTTCGAATAGGCCAGTCCCTGATCAACATCGCGGAAGTAACTGTAGCGAATTTATTTGAAAACGTCAGTTCCTGGCCCATTTCTCGTGGAAAAGAATAGTCCAACTTTTTGAATAGGCCAGTCCCCGGTACACTCCCCGGAGTAATAAAACTGGTCCGCTTTTTTAAACAGGTCAGCTTATGGTCACAATTCCCAATTGCATCTGCAGTTAGTAATATTAAATTGTGTATATTTGTATTAAGGAAAATCAAAAATTAAATTATAATTTATATAGAACTCCGAGCAGAAAGAAAAAATGTGTTTTAGTTGTTAGACTATTTAGTACAAAACTACTAGGGATTACATTAAAAAACATTGATAGTGTATCTTTAAGACATCATCGCGTTGGTAAAATCTTTAAGGAACACCTGGACAATATGGAAGAAGTTTTCCCGAGAGCTCGTTATTACCTTTTTCACTAAGAGAGAAAAGATAGAAACAGTGAAGGATTGAGCATTTGAGTGGAACAAGGAACAATAGAAGGCATTCCAAGCTCTGAGGGAACGGCTGTGTACTTCGCCTATGCTGGCGCACCCGGTTTCAGGTGCAAGATTTATTCTAGATACCGATACTATCTATTGAAGTAATTGAAGGTCAGGAGAAGACAGTTGCCTACTGTAGCCAGTCTACTGGAAAGCCCGAGCGGGACTACTGCGTTACATTTCCACAAGTATCTGTACTGGCAACATTTCCAATTTAGGACAGATCATGTCGCTACTATTAAGTTTAAGAGACAGAACAGCAAAGGAAAGGACATAACAGATGTCCAACTAATGACAATTACATCAGCAAAAGAAAGGAAGGCAAAACACCCACGGATAAAGATCTATACTTCAATCTTCTAAGGCGCGAGCTGTAGATGGACAGACGTAAGGAGCAAATGTCAGCTGCAAGTTCAATTGCAAGGGCATTCTGGGCGCAATATAACAGCTCGAAGTTGATATCTGGGTGTTTGAATTGAGTATGTAAAGGGAAGATGGCCAGTGCTCCCCCAATCTAATAGTAATTCCAAAGTTGAGAATTCGGAATGTACCCAGTGGAGGGTACTTCGTGATTACGAAAACTTGGAGAAGTTTAAACAGCGGTTATATTGGCTTGGTTAGCGCCAATCGGTCGCTAAATGGATTGCAAATTACAAGAAGTGTATTGCCGCAAAAGGGCCGAAATCCAAAATTCATGGACAGGTGCAACAATACAAATCAGGTATTCCATTTGAACGAGTTGCCATGGATGTAGCTGACCCATTCCCTACCATCAAACAATGAAACAAATGCGTTCTCGGGGTTATGGACTACTTAGCAATAAGGTCTAACCAATAGCTACAATACAATTGCGGTTGCAGATACGGTGGACCTATAGATCTACATTCTGCCTAAGGAAAGAATTTCGAATCGGCGGTATGCCAAGAGATGTGATAGATACTGGATGGTTTTGCTTAGGGTGGTCCTCGAATCTTCAGTGCAATTGGGAAGGTTCATTTAAATTCATAGAGATAAACGAAGTAGTATATGGAATCCACACCGTTAGATAGAACAGGAAATGCCGATAACTAGAGTGAGCTAGTATCGAGCATTCCAGAAAGTTCTAGAACTGTGTATGAGCATTAGATGTACAAGTAAAATTTTGATTTACTGAGTAATAAATCAACATTTATCGAATCCTTTACAATTAAGAAATTGTATACAATTTGGTAACTTTTATTTAAAAATATAGTGATTTAACTCAAAGAATTTGGGAAATCATCGAGACATCGAGGCGAATTTCACATATCATAATTTCATATGTTTAAGCTTTCTATCTGCGTTTAACTGCAAAACTTTGAAACAATTTATAAACTACTTATATTAGGCTAAATAAACGCGCATATGCGCGTTATCTTTTGTTTGTTGAGCATCAATCTGCGTTACCTCTTCACTTCCAAAGGTCAATGCCTTGCCAAATTTGCAACTAAAGCATAAAAAATTTACGGTTAAGACAATAACACAAAAATGAGATGTGCGTCTGTTCATAACACACAGTGTTAAAATCATCGTTCGAGCAACATCGAATTGTTATAGTAAATTAATTTAAATTAAAAGTCCATTCTATTCTATACCAATTGCCCCTAGACAATTTGTGATAACGTACTAATATTTATTTAAGAACATCAAGGACCCGCAATGTATTCTATTTAGCCTCTGAACGGCTAATGCATTTTTATAAGGTTTTTAGTTCATGCTAGAAATACACTTGAAGCGGATGAAGCTCCCTGGTTTCCGATATTTTTTTTGATGTTTTTGACAATATGATATATTTTGAACCAAAATGGTAATTCGTACTGTCTAACCACTTGGCTAGTATTTTCATATACATATGTACGGTTTACAAATTGTGTGTACTAGTGGAGTCGGGTATAAATACTCAATACAGAATCTGAAATTTAGCTTTTGGAAACGTTGGAGATATACGCTTACTCACTCGAGTCACACGATTCCAAGTCAAAAAAGGTGAACGGCTTTCCTTTTTCCGTCTTGCAATATATGGGTTTGACCATAGGGTATTTTTATTATCGTAGCGGTATGTGTTTTTTTGTTTGCCGTTAGAGGGCAAATACAATAGCATAGTTGTACCATTGGCGTACTAACCGAATACCCATATTTTTGTGAAACTGAAAAGCTCCGAAGTAAAATTATTAGAACTTACGTTTTAGTTCTTTCAATATTCAAGTTGTCTGATACTTCATTAAAATATATGTCCACACGTCTCTCATCTGATTCTCGTTCATTTTCGTTAGCTTCCCACTTTTCGAATTTCGCTCGAAGTTGCTTAGCCCGTGCGGTTGCTTGTGCCTAATGTAATTTTATAAATGTAAAAATTAGTCAGTAATTTGTTTTATTTATAACCTTAACTACTAGTCGTTTCACTACAATATATTATTATTACAACCCATTAATTATAGTAAGAGTGTAACTGCATGCTACTCAAATATATTCATAAGTATAATAAAACAGGGATGGGCAACAAGTCATTCCGTTTCGCTAACAAAAAAATAACCTCAACGAAATTAAATCGTTTCGTTTAGGCGCCATGTTATCAAAACGAAATGAAATCTTTAACGTTGAAACCTCATGAAACTCATCGTTAACGTTAATTTCAAAATGTTTAACGTTTATTTTAATATTTTTATATATTTATTCATTATATGTTACCGATTTAATATCAAAACAAAAACGAAAAGAAATTTTCTATCGACAACAGCTTGCTTTAACGTTAATATTTCAAAATTTTTAAACCAAAAAGTTACGATTTATCCTTATAATAAACTCATAATGGCAAATTATGAGCTACTGTAATTTAAGAGCAACAGAAATATGCAGGCCTCATTCTCACTTGAAATTAATACTTACAAACTGTACATTGCTCATGTGCTATTCATTTTACTATGTTACTTATGTAATATGACTATTTACATCAATATGTATCCATATCAGATAAGATTATACAACTTAGTTCTTTTCAAGAAGTGAAGTATGCTGAATATTTCCAAAAAAAGTTTTCTTTTATTGTTAAATTGCTTGCAGTCATTCAAATATGATCCAAATGGGAGAACAAATGTTCGCGTGTCTTGCTTTGGTTAATAAAATTCTAAAGACAACTTATGTACGTTGGTCTGCTGATACCATGTTGACATGTGTGTGAAAGAGTTTTTTTAAATGATTAAAAAAATGTAATTTTTGATATTGCTGAAGTTGTAAATTATGATTGATGTAAGCGAATAAGAGATAGTAGATTTAACTGTTTCATTAGCAGACTCATTCCCGGAAATTAAAACATGGACAGTTCCTCTTAGTAACATAATTTTGGAGTGATAGTTTATTAACATGTTACTAATAAGGACCACGTCAATATACATATACTGTGCTAGTAGAAAATTTTTACAAATGGTGCACTTAACAAGTATACTTAATTCGTGAACCTGAAATAACAGTCTATGTTGTTATGCTTTAGGATGTAGGGAGACTAGTTATAGATACACATGAGCATCTAGGTATCGGAATAATAATAGAAAAATTTGCTAATTCGTCAAATAGTGCGCGAAAGACATATGCTGAAATAAATAGCTTATTGATTTTGCAGAGTTTATCATTGGTACAGGTGTTATTAAGTAAACAGGGCTTGCTTGAAGAGTTTGATTTTGTAATAGAAGATATGGGAAGGTAAGTAGATTAACAGGCTCCGAAAGTCCGCATATTTTAGGTTATCATTTTTGGTAAGCTATTTTATGATTTACAGTTCTTTTAACAGACGTTGAAAAGTGAATTTTCGATCCTCGACTGCTGAAACCTAACTTAGAAAGTTTTAGGACTGCCATTATGATGCAGCTCTATGGATTTATATTGGCTTCAAAAAGTAAATTACCAACAGATGTGGATCGTAAAGTCTCAAATTTTTTAATAATTTTAGATAATCTAGTTTTAGGTGAAAATCCGTATAAAGATATTGAATGATTAATGACTTTTACGCAATGATAATTCTTTGGCCTAATTGCCGTTGGATGTCAAAAATGACGTTTTTCTATAATTTGAAGAGTACAATTTGATAGGTACCAGGTAAATTTCTTAACATTAGATAAGTAACTAATCTATGCTAGGAGTTCTTTTTCGAGCTCTTAACGACATGCGAGGGGATTAACAGTCGGTTACTTTCAAATTGTTTTTGTTAAATCTAAAGATACCTAATCCTTTGCAATTACTTAATTAGTCTTGCTTTCAAATTTTAGAACGATCGCATAAAATGGAGACGAGAAAACGAAAGTTAGCTGAGGATAGGTCAGACGAACTTCCACCACGCACGCAAACAGATAGTGATTCTATACGGGTTTCGTCATAATTTACAGCCGATAGAAATATTCAGTGAATACTAACTTGCATATGGAAAGATTTTACCGTCTTTGCAGACTATTTCCAAGTGGTTCCGAAAATTCCATACTGGACATTTTTCCGTAGAGGACGCACCCCGACAAGGTCGACCAAAATCTTTCACTGATAACGTCGCTGCAGCTCTGGTGAAACCCAAAATTAAGGAAAACCCACCATTGACACAAGAAATGATAACTAATCGTGGCTGTAGCGCAAATAATAAGTAATCATCTGGTATACACGAAGAAATCTATGCGATGGGTACCACGAATTTCAAATAAGGTCCAAAAAGAGGCGCGAGTGGGTGTCATTCCCACTTTTTCCTGTTAATAATATGTATGTGCGTACATATATTTGTATACCTACAGCGGTTGTTGGTCCAGCGGCTCCCAATAAACCAAACACGTCACAAAACAAACTACCGCACGAAAAGGAGATGACAAAAAAATCTAACAAAGCGACCGGCCAACTTATTGAAGACGGCGTGGGACGCTAGCTACGCAATCTTTGAAGTAGTAAACATTCTTTTTACGCACACAAGCATTTTTAGTGTTAAAAGGAAATAAATAAATAGTGTCGAAGCCAGTCGAGGCAAGTGATAGTGTAAAGGCATTTGAAGCCTTGTGTAAAATAAGGAACATTCGTTTTCTTTTTTCGGGTATAGTAGCGGAACTGGAGCTTGGTGGCACCGCCGGAGGACTATCCAAGTTGGCCGACCGCGGAACTGATAAGTACCGTATTTGTTCACTTATTGTTTGTTAACTTTTTGTCGTTCCGACAGTGTCAACACCCTCATTATGTCCTCACCCATCTCTCTAGCATTTCGCACCTAGAGCCGAGTCACTTATGTGGATTAAAGTTACCCCCGGTAGCACGGGAGTAGTGCGAGTGGGGTCACAACTAGTTTGGTTGGACCACACCTCGGGTGCAACCCAAAGAAATATTTTTTTATTTCGCATACATATATACAAGAACGCACAGTTTTGATCTGTTGTCGAATTAGAGTGTAATTCTTTTTATCGCGTTAGAAAGATTCACTTGATTTTTCTTCTTTTCAAATTGTTTTGTTGTTGTGCGTAGCTAGCGACCCACGCCGTCTTTACTTAGCTGGCCGATCACTTTGTTAGTCTTTGTCATCTCCGTTTTGTGCGGTACTTTGTTTGGTGTTGTTGTTGTTGTAGCTATTCGCTAACCCCGCTTGGGCCCAGGTTTGATCAATCTAAGTCGCGGAGGTCATCTAGCGGGAGGTCCAGGAAATGAGCAGATTAGACGGGGTTGGACCAAAGGGAGAGGGGGGGTTAGATGGGTTGGCTTGAGAGGGCATGTGAAGAGGTTGTTAGTGTCGTGCGGAGACTCTCCACATGCAGGGCATACATTGGGTATGCTGGGGTGTAGTCCAGATCTAAGTTGTGTCAGGGTCACGCGGGTTTCTCGAGGCTACTCGAGCTCGTTGTCTTCTAAAGGTGGTGGTTTTTCTCAGAGTACGCCATTCACTGGAAGGGAGTCCATGAAGGTATTGACTGATTCCTGTTGAATTGCGTTCAGTGCTTGTCTGTACGCCATCCTGTCCAGCGGTTGTTGTACATATTGCTGGATTGTGTCTTTTAAATCTAGTACTTCCTTTTTGATGTGCCTGGATGGAGGTTCAGCTTCTATTAGGTGCCTACTGGGGTGGAACTGCTTGCACAGCAAAGCATTATGCTCCTTAACTCGTAGCATAGATGCTTCGCTGTGCAAGTGATGCTCCGGTGACATCAGGAGGTTTCCTGTCGCGGTCCTGAGGGCGGTGTTCTGGCAAGCCTATAGCTTCTTCATCTGCGTCTCGTTAGTCCCCGGCGCCCAGATCGGTGCACCATAGTTTGAGTATTTTGTTGCGGCTCTGGAGTTTTGCGGCAATTGCGGTTGTATGCGGAGTGAAGGAGTGCAGGCTGTCTAGTGTTTTTCCCAATATTTTTGGGCTATTTACCGTCGGAACTTTTGTGTCATCGACTTTCACATCTAGTTCAGGTCAACTTAGTTTCCTGGATCGCAGCAATTGACAGGTGCTCTCGGCTCATGTAGTCGACTATCTCGTCGATCTTTCCCTGGAGTCCATTGCAGTTAAATTGTAGGAGTCGGGTCTCTCTCGGGGAACGTTCGTGATACGGGGGGTGAGGAGTTGATGCGGGGATGGTGTGTGTTGCTGATGTGTGCAGGCCAGAGCACGTCCGAAAGTGACACCAGCTAGAGCAAGAGTGCATTTGACTGAGGTCACGTTCCGACGCACTATGGTCTGACACACGGAACAGACTGTGTGGGGGACTAGGAGCTGCTAGGTAGCCCCCGCACAGGAGGAGGCTGAGGAGCTGGTTGTGGGTAGGGATGGAGGTGGAGGTTGGAGGTAGTCATGCTGCGGGGAGCTCCGTGAGACCGTGGAGGTCTGTAGCTTACCCTGAGTGGGTAAAGATGCTGTAGGAACTGTCGTGGAGACTGGGGGGCGATTGGACGCTGGCAGCATGGGGCCACATAACTCGTGGTCCACTCCCTGTGAGTCTTAAGGCCTGAACAGGTTTTAAGGTGACTCCAACCATTGCACTGGTTGCATCTAACCGAGGTTAAGGAGTGGTGGAGTTTTTTGTGACACACGCAGCAGAAATAGTCCGACGGACCAGGGTTGGTTTCGACACCAGCCCTGATAATAAGGATTTTCAGCAACCCAGCAGCAAGGTGTTGCTCCGTTGGCAAGCTTAGACTAATGTTACCTGTTGACCTAAACAGGATTAGGTCGCCGAAAGGGTGACAGCCCCTGGCCGGATAAAATCCGGGTAACTCCGGTGCGTAGAACCGGCTGTCGTGAGCGTCGTAGTTTGTTTGGTAGACGTTGTTGGTAGGCGTTTGACCAACAGCCACTGTAGGTATACATATATATGGAAGTGGCATTATTATAAGTTTGGAAAAATTTCTTGGCAGAAATTGTATTGAACGGAAAGTTCTACGAGTAGAGGGAGAAGCTTCATCTCAGCAAAAATCGCTGTTATGGGTGGATTGGTTTGTTAAGCTCTGAATAAAGGTATTTTTTTTATTGGTAAAAGTTTTTTCTGTTTGGCTTTGTGGAACACAAGGATTATTAATTTTCAATCGCAGGTAATTGCGTTCTATTTTTGGATGTTGTCCCCCATCGTTTTTATTGTTTGCAATTTTTTTTCTGTAGGAAAATAAGGCATTTTCTGTCTACGGCGGAGTTTTCGTATGTATATATTCAACGGTTAGGATATTGTTCACCTCAGTTCTGACAGGCCTTATTATTCCTACACCATTTTGCAGTGTGTTTGTACATCAAACAGTTTTTACATCTAATTGAAAAGGTCTTGCAAAACAATTTTTCACAACCTAAGATAATCTTTTCCTGAAAAGTCATTTATTGGAATGTAAGTATCTTAAATCAATGAATAAATTAAGAAATAATTTTAACATCATAATTCGAGTGGAGTGCTTTCAATGTTATCTATTTTTATGCTTGGGTAAGGTTTTATGTGAGGAAAAAGAGGATCCCGTTTTGGAGTTTTTCTCCACAATTGTTTTTTATTTAAATAAAAACATCATATTACCGTATTTATTACAGTATAGTTCGAGCATATGGAAGTATACGGCTTGCGACATAGAAACAAGCTACGGTCGGCAAATGCCGTGCAATCATAGTAGAATACTTAAAAGCCACAATCATAACTATGTTCATCCGTTGGCACAACTTAGGTATGTTCTAGATACTTGTATTTATTTTCAAAGCAAATCATTACCTCCTTAAGAGCTTCGTCATCAATTTGGCGCTTATAACGCTCACCCGATGAGTCGTAATTAGCTTCTTTATTATCATCTTCGAATTCTTCATTTTCATCCTGTGATTCCAGATCACTGCTGTCTACATCCTGATAGAAGCGGTTGCCACCATCTGGAGGCGGCGTAAAACATTTTAATGGCCGGGGGCTAGATTGTAGATCATCACGATTTTGTTCTATTTCGCGAAACTTGCTCAACATTATGGCAGTAGTATGTGACTTCTCAAGAACATCAGCTTCTTTGTCAAGTTCGCCTGCATTCTTAGAAGCTTCAGTTTTAAACTCTGACGATGGCATTTTTAAAACCTCTTCCCTTGGCGGAGTAATACGAAATTGCTTTCTTATTTGTACTGGGGGACGATATGTTTCGAAAAACTTAAATTTCGAACTAATATCGGATACCGCGGTTTCTATATCCTCCGGCTTTTCGTGATATTTGACGACAATCTGTTTTAAATGAAACATAATGCTTTAGAATTTGTCATAGATATTCGAGTATGTAGATCAACAGTGCAAATAAAGCAAGGAAAGATTATTACTCTCGCCTGATGTGGAACACAAAGGGTAATTCACCAAATAAATTTGTATCTCTTAGTAGTTTTGCTTTCAGATGAATTATGTCTATAAGTGAACGAGAAGCTCCATCAGCCCTATCCTGCATTTCTACTCAAAACGAAATTTTCGTCCGCTACAAAATATGTTTGACTTTTACATCAAAGCTAAACATCACCCCTTTGTAATAGGTCATCAAAATGCCCATTATTAATGCAAAATTATTTCACAATACCTTTTCAGTTAATATTTATAAAATAATTTACAAAATTAAAAATATTCATCGAAAAAGAAAGAAAATGTCAGTTTACTCATTTTTGACACTGTCAAGAAACTGTTAGCAAATTCTGTGTTTTTCCTTTGCTTCGATCTCGTATTTTTCCCTATGCTTGCAATGCTCTATTTGCAGCCCTTTTGATTTGGTTGTGAAATTTTGCTGTGAGCGCATGTAAAGAGTTGCTCTTAAGATTTTTTAAAATGCCCGGTAAAAGGTTGGTATTTGAAGTTAATTAAATGATTTACTAAAACCACCAATGAGACATATCGGTTCCACAGTTGATGATATACTAGAACGATGACCCAACCAGAGTATGCCGTAAACCGTTGACTGCGCTCGGACCGCAAACCATCATTCCAACTCTAAATTCCGACGTAAAATCAAAAAAATGTATTTTATCAGTGTGTAGATAGTCAGATACCTTGTGCATTTGTCACTGCAGGTAGCGATACTAGCATAACTTAGCCTTTGTTATATTTACTTTATGACATAAAAGAGGGGAACATATGCATATGTAAGAAACAATACGTCAAAGTATATATGTACGTACAAGAGAGCAGATTATTACATTGGCGCCGCATTTGTAAGTTAGTGAGGGAGTATACTGGGGCTACTTCTTCAATCTCAAAAATCCTGCCAGGCTGAATCCTCATGATTCAGAATTTTATCTTGTATCCAACCTAACCTTACTAACTTTTTCACTGGAAGCTGATACTGACGTTTGGTAAAACTGCCGTTTGCATTTGTTTCCATTGTACTAAATAGTAACTACGTGAACCAGGCTTTTACTGCCTTGGTGAATATCAATGGGTTTCACTCGCCAGCTCGCCGGCGATAAATTTTTATTGCGAATAATAACTACATCATCTTGTTTTAGATTGTTTTCGGGACTCGTCCATTTTCAGCAAGCATGGAGGGAATCCAGATACTCCTTTTGCCAACGACGCCATAAATGTTCAATCATTTTTTGAAACCATTGATAGTATTGTAAACGATTGTCTGGTATCTCTGGTAGTGGCGGTTTTGATACCTAGTGGATCATCATGTATAGCCATAATGGGAAGCAGATTAAGGAAGGCCTCAATACTAGTGAACAGCGTAAGGAGGTCGTTATAACGCAACGATTGACAATCCGTCATGCGAAGTAATTGCTTTTATGCCGAGCGAACGGCTGCTACTCAGATTCCCACATCATGAGTTGCACCTGGGGCAATACGTTTCCATTATGTGCCAACTTGAGCAACGTGATGCTGTGTGTACTTTGATACCCTAGCCTATAAATCATCATACGTTCCGTGTGACAACGAGAGCACGTGGGGACTGACATTCTACTATCTAAGCCTGGCGTTGTTGCTTATGTAGTTCTGGAACTATCGCACCAGCCTTGCAGGGCAACTGGCAGGGCGTCCTGTCTACCATAATCGGTGATGCTGAAGAACTCCAGGCAAAATTCCTCGACTAGTACAGTTAGTAGGATATAACTCAAGCAAATGTGATACCATAAATTAATATATATGTTGGCTGGAATAAAAGGAACACGGCTACCAATGAAGCTAAATTAATCCAATGCAGCACTATTGTGGAATCACTCCAGAGTATATAAGGTACATCCTGTAAGTGTACAGCTTTTGGAACGTGGCGTAGAGCAACTACTATCTAGGCGGGGTATCGTTGTTTCCTTCACCGGTCGAGAGACTTAAGAGGACCAACTCCTGGAGTGACACAATTCACATAAATAATTGCTGCGTATGTCTTTGAACTGGCTTCGCAAAATCCGTTAACCGTTACAGAAGCACATAACGACATACCTAACCAACAAGCTACACGGATCAGTGCAGTTCATGGAAGCCGTTGCGTAGCTCCAGTCATTTATCTCGTAAATTTGCAGGCTGCAAAGTATCCCAGTTGAGGTCTGCCTTGCACTACGTCTGAATAAATATTTTGGCCACGTCACTTAAAACACGGCATTTTGGTAGTGATGAATGAATGAATGTGATTCTGAAATTCTCTCCTTAAAAAATAACTCAATAACTGAAAGGATTCCAATGCAATCTAGAAATGTCGTATTTGAATTACATAATTCGATTTCTGTACTTGACATCTTTGGATCGGTGACGGCATCAAGCATTTTGGCACATTTTGTGTTCAATTATCCAACAGTGAACTGCGCTTTCTCAGCATAATCAAAATTTGTTATGCCCTAAGCCTCTGTAGGCAACTCAAAGATGCGTAGCGGCTCAACTGGAAACACTCGCCACATAATACGCTGCCACTAGCGATGCACTGAATTGACCTCTACATGTCGAACCATTTTCTTGACATCAGCTGTTACCGCTATCTGATAGCAACGAAACCGATGCAAAGTTTCTATCGAACTGCCTAGCAGTTGTTGTCGAGAAAACTGAATGCCATTCAGAGACGGTCATTGATTGTTTTCCATGATGCCTTGAATACTACGTGGTATTGCCCAATCACCGCGTGGTATGTAATGACATCATCAGCGCTCATATGGCTTAGCGATAAGTATTTTCGCACGAATTTCATGTAGTTGGCTCGAAGTTCAGTAGCGCTGGCTCTTTTTCGCTCCAGATAAAAGAGCAGGCAGTGCGCGGCTCATCACGGGTACCCGGAACTATTCCATCGGCAATTAATGCGGGCCAAATATCAGCAAAAATAAGTAGATCGATCCGGTCAGAGATGCCAAATGTTGGATCAGCGAGTTGGAGTCCTGAGATGTGGTTCCATTCGGATAGATCTTAAACATTGGTGTTGTGTTCGTAGTCCTCTGCTGGATATAGACATCGAATTGTAGCGCAAACGACTCTTCTGTAAGAGATCTGATTTGCAACATTGTCATGCCCTTTGTGTAAGTAGTAGCACCAGTACCTTCCACTTGTATCTCGCGAGGTGTTCTGCGAGGATTGGGGCACTTAAACATAGATTCACTGAGAAAGTTCACCTGAGGTCCGATGTCACATAATGCACAATATTCGTGAAGCCTTTTACAGTTATTTAACCTGGCCAGGGTGGCTGGTAGAATAGTCCTGTCACGTAGCACTATAAATGAAGGGATTCGAATACACCTCTGGCCCTCTTTGTGGAGGCACAGCCCATGCTGTAGGGTTGTGCGCTGCATATACTGTTGATGTTGTACCCTTAACTTTTTGATTTCTCTCATCTGCAGTATGACAATGAGGGGTATTGTGCCTTTTTTGACAAAACAACCAAACATCAACAGGACATTGACGAACGGTATGTCCAGATATTAGGGAGTTAAAGCGTACAATTGAGCGCCTCACCAATCGCCAACGCTCCTATATTTGCAAGCTTCGAAACTGAGGGTACTTATTGGGGCGGTGGTTGCCGCAACACTACGAGCAAGCACGTACTGATGGTGTTGCTCTCTAGATGGACTTCACGGCGTCAACCTGGGCCTTGGCAATACAAGATACCAACTATTTGGACACAGACTGTGTGCTAGCGAGCGATGTAGCCTGGTCTTCTTTTGCTCCGCTAGCCAAAGTGAAATAGTGAATGAACCGGACAAAATGTTTATTTAGTCGGATGAGTAAAACCTCACATTCCAAATTGCCCAGGTCGAAATTCGTACTTTGGGTCAAGGCGGAAGAGTGACGCATGTGTTGTTGCTTGCAAATTTAATGAAGCCATCGAAGAAAACCTCAAATCAGATGATCGCAGTTCCTCACTGGAGGCACCAAAATGTGCAAAATAAAACTAAATTCACTGTATCAACTCTTTTTAGCAACTAAACACATTTTTTCAATAAGTTACCAAATCCTATAAGCGGTGCTTAGAATATATTTATACATTTTGTATTTCAACACACGCACATATGTATGTATAATATTAAATCCTATAAGCGGTGCTTAGAATATATGTATACATTTTGTATTTCAACACACGCACATATGTATGTATAATATTAAGATATGGGCTGATGTGATGATACGCAGTTAGGTTGGATCATACGATCGCATGTACGTATGCACGTCGAAAAAAAAATGCTTAAGAGTGAGCATTTCTGTTCTTTTTGAGATCTGCGAAAAGCCTGCAGTCAATGGGGATGAATATCGGATCGATATGTGAGCAACTTGATGTTCAACTGATGTAGTTTACCATTATTTTGGTTGTTACAGTGCTTTATCTTGATGAATCATAAGTATATATTTTTTTGTAACATATGCGGTTGCTCGTTTGCACTTTCGGTTTTACCGCTGGAGCGATTTTTCCGCTGAGCTCCTTCTTTAATTTATGGTTTTGCGTCTTGATGTTTTTCCAAAAAAAAATGGAGGGACTTACAGTTACAGGCTGTAACGGAGAAGTATAAACGTGAAGGAGTGCAAAAAAAAGTTGCTGGTGTTCATTAAAAGACCTCATTACTTCCAGAAAATCTTCACCACTCCATGTGAAAAGTATTTTTTTTTTCCAAATAACTAAATTAATTACGTGATCGTAATTTTCACCCATCTCTAGTTTTCTAAGTTAAAAGTTAGTGAATTTGTAGAAAAACTATATTAGACTAAACAAAATATCCCGACGGCAATGCGTCTGGTCGCATATGGAAAAATGCAGATGAATAGATGCTCACAGGTTAGTACATAAGAAACACAACAGATTGCAATTATCTAATATATATCAAAAAGAAGATAGTTGCACTATCAACCAAAGAGCCATATAACATCGCTTCCCACTTGAGAATTACATATTTCACTATTTCTCACCTCTGGTTCATTTTCACTATTTTGTCGATTAGTTCTACTCGAATGTTGTTTGGTCAATTGTGAATTCGGCAACTTTGGTGACATAATTTGTTTTCTATCAGCTACATTTTGAGCATCTAGTTGCATAAAAATACTCCGTGATTTCTTACTCATTGCTAAATTTTAAAAACAATGAGTAAATAAATAAAAATCTGAAGCATGACAAATTGATAAACTTTACCGGACTCGAAAACGTCAGCCTCGCTCTTCAAGACAGCATTAGAACTGACATTTTCCGCACTGAAATCTTGGGTGTCCCTAAATGCTTCGCCGCTTTCGAAACGTTCCTTAAGTGAACGTGCGGCTCCTTCTATTTCAATCTCTGGCTTTTTATCAGACGAAGTAGTTCCTACAGGTAATAGAAAAATTTGTTATACTCGTAATGTAATTTCTATGATATGATAATAGTTATTTATGAGTTTACCATGTCCTGATTCGGCAACAGCTTGTTGATACATTTCCTTAATACGGGCCTGCTTTCCCATAAACAAGCGAGAACGTATATTTTGAATTTCCTGTTTACGTTCCTCACGTCGTTCTTCCTTGGGCATTACTTGATCATTTTCGAACTTCGTCGTAATTTCATGCATTGCATGTCCAAGTCCAACCGGACGTTCCCTTTGGGTGCTCTTCTCTGAGTGCACCCGATCAGAATCTCGGTCTTCGATGCTTTCTTTATTATCGTGGCTCGTATCATTGTTACTATCAGATGAATAGTCATCACTTCCACTCTGTTTTTTCCTATCGTTATAGTCCTTTAAGCTCAGATCAGAAGTAATTCCCTGTTCTTTCAGTTTAGCTATTTTCGATAATATTGAAGTCTTAACGGCATTTCGTTGAGACTGCTCAGTATGCTCTTCTTCTTGGATTTTCATTGCGTTTTCAAATACTTGAAATATGGATCGTACGTTTAGCTGTTGCAGCTCTTCCAACCCGAGGTCAGGCTTGTCAGATGCTAAGTTACTCAATGTGATATTGTTATATTAATTTGTCTATAAAAATTGTATATTAAAGAGTTAGTAGTTTTTAGGAATTGTTAATAAATATTGTCAGGTGCTCATCGCTCAATCTTATTGAGTTCTCCAGAAATTATCCGAATTATAGTTGTTTGTAAACATACAATACAAGAAGGGCAATGTCTTCCTTGGACCGATTTAAAAGTCAAGAATTCGTGAAGCACAGTTTTTAGTTGTTTTGCTTAAAAGTTCCACCATACATAGCTCATCCACTATATTTCAGAGGAAGAGTGGAACTAAACAGTTTGTAATTTCATTATTATTTTACCTAACGGATCGAAATAAACTTTATATGTATACTCTGATTGAGCTCGCATAAGACGATATCATAAGTATAATAATTAAATTTTGGCTTTATTTACTTCAGTTTAGTCAAGCAGAAATAAAAATCAATTGTCAGTTGTCATTTTCGCTTCCAGTCTGAGAAAATAACTGAAAATTTTAATATTCTTAACTTTTTACTGTTTCAAATGATTTAGAGCAAGTTTAAAACCGTGATAATCAATTAGCAAAATTTTTTTATGGAAAAATTCCTGAATTTTTTTTTCTATCGAATGGTTTACAGTGCATACTTCTACTCAGAAGGCCAGGGTTCGACTCCTGGTCCGACCAATAACTAAAATTATGGAAAATAAAATTTGTTTTCTATTTGTGATAACCACTCCGCAGGGTATGTTAAGCTCTATGAGTGTATTTCCAACATGAAATAAAAAGCTCCTCATAAATATTGATCGGCCGTTTGGAGGCGACTTAGAATAAATGCTTTCCATTTGTAGGAAAGAAACACTAATATGCACGTCACAAATTGGTGGAGGTTCTCGGCCGAAAATCGATTCGACGATTATAAAGTGCCAATTACATACATATATACATTCTTTACAAACTACACCTAATTCTCATTATACACGGCAATGGTTCCAGGAAAACTCGTGTAAAAAAACTTATACAAAGAAACGTTGATCGTATGCAAAATCTGTTATAAAAACCTATTGAAATGAGTGAAAAGCAAGTATTTTTTTATAACAACTATTCTATCTCTTATTAAGTCACATATAGTATTATGTGTTTTTACACAAGCATAGTTATTAGAGAAAATAAAAGATATGCTTTCTAAACTTAAAAGTTGTGTATAAACAAAATTATGGCAAGATCAGAAACTGAAAACATTTATGTAATACAGCTATAATGAATAGGTTATTCAATTTTTAAAGTAAAAAACGTTAGAAGGATAATCATAAACACAGGAACATTAATTTAACCGCTGTCATCATCATCATCATCGAATGCATATAAAATTACTATAACCGCTGGAATAGTTTTGAACTAGGCTTTCTCTTGTCGTTGGGACCCAATTATCGTTACCAGTTTGTATAGTTCTTTGTAACAAGCCATGTAAGACTTCAGCTAACGTTGAATTGAACAAATCTTTCGACATTGGGATCGTTTGTACCGAAATTCTATCCTAGTTTGTTTGCAGGTGGAAGTCCTTTTTGGAATAAATTTGCATAAGTGTAACCGGCAATATCAATTGCTGCTTTCGATGTAATAGCAAAATGTGGTATTCCGTTTTTGCTAAGACCTTTATCCCCACGAACGTTCTGCCAAAGAAATTCTGTTACGATATTCATTTCTCTTTGGATCCACATAATTTTTTCTTTTTATATATTCTGACCAAATTAATTTCCAGCAAGGTATTATTAAGGGTAGTGATGTGCAACTCGACGGCTGATCTGCGGAAGTGGTGCTTTTCCACCTCTCTCTACCAATACCTTGTTTTTGCTTCACGTGGTGGCACTGTATAACTCACTTCTGATGCACAGATTAAGTATGGCGAGTTGACCCCATTTTTATTAAAAACTTCCGTTCACGGACTCTTTCTTCATCTTCTGTTTTTGACTCTTTGTTTTGACCTGATGGTTGTGGCATTCTGTTACCTGAGTATGCAGGAGTGATACTCTGCAGGAATGGCTTTCAGGCTAACCTGACCAAAATGAATTCCCACCACCCGCACAACTAACACGCACGAGAGTTGACATCCGCATAGCGTACGGAATATTTCGAGTCATTATTGGGACGCGTTTTTTAAGCGTCGAGATCTAAAGCTTTTTCAGCTACACATCTTAAGGTTGTGACATAAAAAGTTTTACTTTATCGGCATATAACAAGATATTTTGGTTTGCCTTATTACCGAAGATATATCATTTATAATAAGAGAAACAGGAACTGATGACACATTAATTAATTATGATAAAGTGTCTGTAATATTATATTTGATAATAGCGAGGAGATCGAAAACGTTATGTGACTAATAATGATTGCCTCAAAGAGCTATAACATAGCGGACATTTTTAAAATACCTCCATAACTAATTAATTAATATGAGACCTATAACCACCCTTATGTAAGGGCAATTTAAACAACTGCTTCCACATTGTAGGGAGCACACTTTGTTTGAGAGAGGAATTAAAAAGTTGAGTTAAAGGCAAATACAGATTTTATGCAAAACTTTTCAAAAAGCATGTAGGAATCATATCTGGACCATAATTGAAAGAATGTTTTAGTTTCATCAAATGATGTAATACATCCTTTTCAAAATAGTTGGTGAGTTAATCATTGTTGTAGATTTGTATTAAATGGCGGGGGGAAAGGAATTGTTAAAGTAGCATGTGTTACGCAATCTTTAAAATTAATTTTTTTTGTCACTAATCACTTCAATAGCCTATCCAATTTATCCGAAATGTACCAGAATTTTCCTTTGATGTAGTATGTTCTAATTGAAGAAAACTTGTATATTTTCGTGTTCCAACTGAACATGGCCAGGTGTTTTGTTTACCAATAGAAGAACTCTCATTTCTAAACCTTTTTCATTCATATATTTTCTAGGGTCTGTAAAAAATATTTAACGAAACATTTTGTGAAAACTGTAGCGGTCACCCATGTTTTTTCATTGGTCATCTAATTGACGGGTAATGCATCAAAATTGTCTGGTTTCATTTCTCGAGGCTTCAATGACCGATTTATATGCAGGAAGTTTAACATCCGACCTCCAGAAGTGTTACTGCAAAATAATAGAGTGACTCCATCTTTCACAGCTTTAAAACCAATCTTAAGTTATTTTTCTAAAAAAGAACAGATTTAGTGGAAAATCTTTGACAGCTTTCTGATTTCCAGAAACAATCTCGCCTTTGATTATCATTTTATGAGTCCTTTAGACAATTTCTGTCAACCGTACTGTGCTTGCTAAAATAAGTATATTTTCTCAGAAGTGGATTGTGAAGAGCTAAACGGTTGTTCGTCTCTTATCAAATTCCATACTCGATCCCCAAAGTAAAGGCTTTAGTTTTGTTTTTGTAGTTTCGATATTATTTTATATACATATATATAGTCGGCGCTTAGTAACCGCTGAAGCGATTTTCGGTCGAGCTCTTCCTCGAATTTGTGGAATTTGCGTCTGATGGTTTTTATGACGAGCTTTATTTCATGTTAGAAATATACTCGGAGGAGTTGACATTCCCTGCCGAGGGGCGACCGCAATAAGAATATTTAGCTTAAAGTTTTATTTTATATTCATTTTCTATAACTTTGTTGATCTTACTATGACACAGAACTTGAACCCGAGCCTTCCGAATGGTAGTACGCAATGCCTTTTATCATAATGCGTTAAAATTTGTCTATAAAAAATTTCGTAAGAGAACACGTCTACTCATTATAGTTGCTGTCACAAATAATTTTTTTATGTCGTATGCACTAAAAGAGAACTTCTCGAAATTTGTACTGTTTATGCACAACTGTTCTGACCAGTAAATTTGCTTGTATCCACATATAGTGAATTCCCCAAATTTGTGATATGAACATATGTATATAGTAGAAATTAAATTTAATCAGAAAAAATTTAAGACCAAAAGATTTTGATTCGTATTAAATGGAGTAAAATCGAGTAAAAATTAGTTTATTTTCGCACCGTGTTAAATCAAAGCAGTGCAGACAAATACCGGGTAAAATTAGGTGTATGCATATCTGGTTTCATAGTTCTTTTTCTACTATTGTAAACAGTCCAAGGGCCGAAATAAACACGAGATATAATATCAATGTAAATTCCATCGATAGACACTTTCGATTATCGTTGAAAATCGGACGTAGCTCATAACCCATAATGTTAGAGGAGGAATGTTTCGGGCTTTCACATTAAGATTAAAAAATATTGTGGACTGTACGGATCGTACCTGGGCAGTTTTGGGGTTCTGGTGTGTTTGCAATGCACCCTCCATGTAACTTAAAATAATGCAAGGTTTAACTTATGAAAATTTAAACAGAAATTATTCATTCAAATTTACAATAAACCAAACAATATTTTCTAGATGTGTGTGACTAGCATTTCAAAGAAATGAAAATGTGAAAATTACTAAGGTGTACCTCGAATAATTGAAAATTTTGTTTAAAGTAGATTAATATAACCCAATGTAGCGTAAGTTAAATATATCAATAATACACACGTATGTATAAAATTAGCACGTTTTAGTATTGTAACTGATTTTAAATAATACCTCTTATAACATCTGAGGGTAACTCATTCGGGTGATTTTCTCTAACAATCATTTCTGGCTTACGTGGAATATCTGGTTCTGAGTCTTCAACGCATTTTGGGCTAAATAACAATTTAAAGTGTACCATACAATACAGTATGCCTTCATGGCTTAAATAGTTGTCCACTCTAAAATAAATAAAATATACAACAATAATATGTATGACAGGTTAGGTTATACATGAACACTAAGGTCTGATGTAATAAGTGCAGGCTAATTCGACTTTAACGGAGGCCAAATCCAATGCATACATATTTTTTTAGAAATGGGTTTTTCTTTTAAAATATTTCAATAAAAGCTATATATAGTATACTTTTTAACATATAACAAATTTTTTTTATTTTACATTTGTTTTATTATATTATATTTAAGACATTCCGCTCAAAACTAGCCTGCTTTTTCATTATACCGACTTAAAATCCATAATTTCCACGTTCGTCTTCCGAGGAACGAAAACCAAACTCTACAAGTCTCTCATCGTCCCCGTCCTGAGAAAGGTTTTGCGTTGGATTTATGGTCTTTTGTGCATGGGCAACGGAAAATATCGCAGAAAATCGAGCGATTAGCTGTCCGAGTTATACGGCGACAATAATATAGTTCAGCGAATCAAGAAGCAGAGGCTACGCTGACTAGGTCACTGGATGCGAATACTCCAGCTTTGAGAGTTTTCGATGCAGTATCCGTCGATGGAAGCAGTGGAAAAGGAAGCCCTCCACTCCGTTGGAAAGACCAAGTAGAAAATAACCTGGCTGTACTTGATATTTCGAACTGGCGCCAAACAGCAAAGAGAATGGCGCAATGTTGTTAAATCGTCCAAAATCGTGTAAGCGGTGTCTGCGCCAGTAAAGTAAGTAAGTAAGTAGATTTATAAAGCTTCATTTGCTTAAGAGCTTATACAATCTCTAATTATTACAGACATATTTGCATTTACCATTTTTCTTTTGCTACGCAATCACTCATGTTTTAGTATCTCAGTATCAATTGAGTCTTAAATCATATCATACAATTGGCAACTTTCCGTATAAAGAAGTGCAAGTTATAACAATCGTGAAAAAAAATAATGCAAGCTATTGGCAACTGCGCTTTCAATGGTTTATACTGAAGAAAATACTGTGTTTTTTTCTCAAATTGTTTTTTATTTTTATATAAATACGTAAATCGATTGGCGCTTTATAATAATAAAAATTAACAAAAGAAATGAAAATAACATAAGCAAGCAGTGTAACATACTAGCCGGGAAAAATAACAAAACATAGGTGCGCCTAAAAAAATGCAGTAAATTAATTTTGTATAGCATTAAATAAATTAGTAAAATAATAATAATACATTGATAATAAAAGTACAAATACAGCGCTCAATTCAAAGGGATCGAAACCATTAAATTCAATGGCTTAGTGAACGCAATGCTTACTTTGCAGTTGTTTCCTCTTACTTCTCATCCAGTTCAAAAGAAAATTAAAAAACTATCGCAACACATGTAGAACCGGAGGAAACTCCAACACTAAAGAGGAAGGAGAAGCAGGGAGCAGAAGAAAGACCAAATAAAAATGGTTCCGCAGTGCAGATAGGTATTGACCGATATGCCACCGTTAAACTAAAATCGAGCCGGCTTACGAATACCAGCAGTACAAAGAGAGCCATCAAGAATCATTCCACTCAAAAAGCTGCAACCTCACTGGTAAGAAATACAGAAAGACAAGTTGGTTAATAGTTCGACTGAAAATGGTAGTGCAAAAATGGAAACTGTCAAGCCGCTTGCAATCTATTTCCGAGAGCCTATTAAAATTGAATTATTTGTAAATTCAGTCGAAGAGCCACATAAAGGAAATACACAAAAGGAAGTTTTAACAGCTAAGAAATGTAGTAATTGCGGTGGTAATCTTACTGAAAACTATGAGTTTGACCTGTATATATATATATAAGTAATACCATCAGCCGTTAAGAGGCCGCATAGTATTAACTGTAGGTTCTCCATTTGTTGGAAAAACATCAAAACGCAAAACTACTAATTGGAGGAGGAGCTCGGCGGAAAATCGCTTCAGCGATTACAAGTGTCAGTTATTATGTATATAATATTTGCAGTTAAAGCAAATGAATTTATCTCAGAGGATTATGAAATGACGGCTGGCGTTCCTCAAGGTAGCGTTTTGGGACCAATACTGTATATATTATTTTTTGTAGACATTCCAATAATCTTAAAAGTACAAAAGTCGACATTTGCATACAGTACTGATATATTATGTAGAAGCAAGTTCTCAGACCCATATTTCTGCAAAAATACAACCCCTCAAACTCATAACCGCCGGCCTGGATTGGTTATTACACAACACATATAGTGATATGTATGCGTAAAAAGTATCCAGTAACCAAAAACAGCAACTTCAATCAACAATGATGTGGAGTCTCACAAGTTCAAAAAACGAAATAATATAAACACCTAGCTTATATATGAAATCAAAACAGTTATTTTAAGAAAATATACAGAAATGTATACTTAAAAGAATGTGTTGCTTTGTTTACAATATAAAAGTACTATTTTCGTGAGTATTTGGCTTTTTGAAGGTCCTTTCTAAGTCTTCAACGATAATATGCTAAGACTCCTAGACTTTATTTTCCTTGATAACGTCTTTCCCTTAAGAAATATTCATGGTGTAATGAGGCCACATGTAGAAGTTCACGCAAGTGAGGACAGTTTTTGACTGTCATTCACCTGGGAGTGGCCAGAAACAATTATTTTGCATATGGTTCAAGCAGCTGACATCCGTTTGGAGGCGAGCTAAAGTGAGACGGCTGTGTGTAAAGTTTGGACCGACCACCTGATAAGCAAAATTTGACACCATGCACCCTTAATTGGGAAGGTGCCACTGCCCAGCTTGTTCATCGTAAGAATAAAACCTGACATCATCTTCGTCCAAAGAGTGCGATGGACAAAAAACGAAAGCGAGTGGGTCCTTGTGAAATTTACTACAGCGACCATATAAAGAAGCGCAAGTTTGGTGTTGGATTCGTAGTGGGAGAGAACCTCCCTTAGGTTCGTCTTTGAGAAGCTTCAAACACAACAGACTGCCGAGTGGTTTTCTTTCAACTTGCACACATGCTCTCTGAGAGTACTCATCAGCAACCCGGCATAAGGGAACTTAGGGACGGCATTACCAGCTCCCTAAGTATAGCTGCAAATGAAACTATTGAAAACTCTTGTTGGACCCAGAGGAGCTAGTGACGGATGTCCAGAGCATAATGAATCTTTGAAGGGAGCGCTTCACCAGTTTGCTGAATTCCAGTGAAAATGAAACATCGGCGATTAAGAACTGATCAGGTGCACGCATCAGCTTCTTTGCAAAATATGGTCGAATGAGGACATGCCCGAAGATTGGAGCTTGGTGTGCTCTGCCCAATCCACAAAATAAAGCGATCCTGCAATCTGCGCCAATTACCGTGAAATAATCCATCTTTGCTTCGCATATAAGGTCCCATCAAGCGAACTGTGTGAAAGACTAAGCCCACCATCAACAAACCTTATCAGTGTGGCTTCGAACCAGGTAATTCAACCATTGACTAGATATTCACCATGCGCCAAGCCTTGGAAAAGACTCGTAAAAAGAGAATCGACACATACCACCTTCTCGTCGATTTTAAAGCCGCCTTCGACAGCACGAAATCTGCAAACTTATACTTCACAACTGACCTTAATCAGCACCGTCATGATCGGGAAGGACCTCTCCGAAGCGTTCCATACCAAACGTGTAACTTCTTTAATTTGATGATAAAGAAAATAATACGAGCTGCAGAGCTGAATAGAGAAGGTAAAATCTCTGCTCGTGTACGCTGATGATATCGACATTATTGACCTCAACAACCGCGCCGTTAGTTCTGCTTTCTCCAGGCTTGATAAAAAGCGAAGCAAATGGGTCTGAGAGTAAATGATGGCAAGACGAAATTTTTTTTATCATCAAACAAACTGTCATCGCATTTGCGCCTCGACTCTCACGTCACTGTTGGCAATCATATCTTCGAGGTAGTACGAAGAGAAATACCTCCACTTTTTTGGTAGGTTAAGGTGGAGAGTGACGTGGCTTCACTTAGCATTTCCATCAGGCGCCAAAAAGCGGAAAAGAGGAATGGTGGTGCCAACGCCAATAAAAAACAGAAGAATTTCTAACATATTTCTCACATATTTCGCACAAGTTCTCCGGAAATAAATCCAAATTAGAATCCAGCAAATGAATTTTTAATAACTTATTAAGCCTCAAACCTTTTTATGATATTATAAGCTCTTTTACTTATTTTTTCCAATTATTGATTTACGGTTTGTGAGAAATTTCTGGACAACATACAAAACATTTATCAGTTGCTGTATTTGTTGCTCTAAAAATAATCCCTCTTTAAAATCTAAAACCTTCTGTAGCCATAGTTTTTACAAAAATTTGATCAGACCGACCTTTCAGGGCAAGGGTTGTAAAAAAAAATGGCTGTAGACAAGCTTGGATTATTTGGACTTGGTTGTAGGGACTTTTATATGAGTCAAACCAAAAATCCGTGCGTGATCCTTTGATTATATATAAATAAAATTAGCGCTTTGTAACCGCTGAAGTGATTACACTCAGATATAATTTTTGGATGTTGGTTGACCGGGATATGAATCCGGGCCTTCCGAATGGCAGGTCGCAATGCTAACGCTTCAGCTACCGCGGTCGCCAATTATCTTTTGATTAATGATGTGGAAATTCGACGCTGTTACAGAAATTTGTGGAAAAATTGATCTGGGGGGACAAGTTAGTGGTGTTAAGAATAAAACTCGTATATTCGCTTAAGTATATTATTTGGTGCTTTGTAACCGTTCACCGCTTTGCATAAAGACTTGGGCCCTAAGGCTTATAAAGTTCAGTTAACACCAAGACTTAAGCCGGCCGATCATAAACATCGTCCTGTCGTTGCTAATTGGGTCCACCAAATGCATGAAAATGATCTGAAACTTCATTGAAAACTCATCATGTCCATAAGAAAAGCCTCTCCATTCTCAACATTTTGATGCAATATTTGGTCCATCGGGTTTATTGGACCTTACTTTTTCGAAAGTGAAGCCTGATCAACAGTTACGGTGAATGGATTGCGCTACCGAGAGATGATTTACGTATTTTTATGGCGGGGATTGGAAGTTACCGATCTGGAAAACGTTTTACTTTTTACAAAACTGGGCTAAGTATCACACAAACGATTAAGGATCTCAAAGTTGGAATGCGTGAAGTTATTGGTGATATACAGCAGCCACTTTACGATTTGATGATGGAAAATTTCATAAAACAAACATTAAAACAAACATCCGATCTAAAAAAATTCCGTATTACTTTGAATAAAAATAAAATGTGTATTAAATTGAACGCTTAGCTCCAAATGAAAGGTTTGCAGCTGGAATTTTAAATGTTTCTAAAATACATTTAGTGACCTGTGATAAAATTTTTCTGTCTTCAGTACAAATAAATTTAAAACTCATGAACATTTTTGGAAAAAAGTTAACAAGGCTTTCAATATCTCTAACCAAAAGTTTTTCAACTCTATGAAACGAAACTTAAGCATGGAATTTTTTTGAAACTATAGATTCGAGAGCTTACTATGGATTAAGATTAAGATCCGAACTTAGACAATTCAATCATTCACAAATTTCTGGAAACACATGTATTGTAAAACATGCACCATTCAGTTTGATTAGTGTATGTTTGAGCTGGCCTCCTTTAATATATCAATATGCTGTAATATGTTTCCTATTTAATGTTAGGTATGTAAAAATTAATCTTTTATTAACTTACTTCAATTGCTTATTACATTCATGGCAGCGGAAGCAATTCTTATGATAAATTTTTTTTTCAGCCATAATTTCCTCCATTTTATACACAGGCTTAGTGCATAAACGGCAATTAATTTCCTTATACCCTTGTAGTTTCTGTGGCAGAAAATGCAATATTTAATGTTATGTGATTGGTAAGGTAAATACTATAAAAATATTGGGTCACTCTATGAATAAAGTAGTTTTTTCATATCTAACAAATTAACAATAAAATTAGTTAATAATATTTGACTACCTTTGATAACCTTTTGTCTATTTTCGTTTCACGCTCCAGGAAGGCGATAGTTGTTATAAGCTGATCGAAATTTTTTCCACTCAAACCAAACTCTAGGAAGCGAAAAAATGATAAGCTAGGGCCTCATTAAATTAGTGCAAGAAGAGGCTCTCTGCTCTCGAGTTGTCATACGCCGAATAGTCTCGTTTAACGCATTTGCTTTGTGAACGTAAGTCACTGCTGGATATTTAGGGCGTAATGCATTTCCAGAACGAAAGTGAGCAAACCACTGGTATTCAGTAAGACAGCCCTCATCATAAACTTCGCTTAAAATTTTCGGAGCTTGCCCTGCATCATTGCCGTTTGCCATTTTCAACGCAGTCGTCGTTTTTTCAAATAACGATTTTGACTTAAGATATGCTACAGTTTTTTATGATTTTAAATTTTGATAAAGAATATTGCATGTCTCCTTACTTTCATTACAACGAGTCCTATCATATTTAAATACCATAATTATGCATGCATTCCTATACTTATATATATGTCTAGCTGATTAAGATGTCATTAAAATAAGTTTGGGTTAAAAATGAATGAAAACTTACACTGAACTTTTCCTGTGCTTTACAAGGATCGCTTGAACGTACATGAATTAAGTTGCGTTTTTGTAGAGCATCAAATTTATTTAAGTTCGAATTCTGCAAAAAAAAATCTTTTTTAATTTTTTGTGAAGCAGAAATTTATATATAACTTAATATTTAGCAAGTATGAAGCTGATGTAGAGTCCGACAAATGACAGTTCGTGGGACATCACTGGTGCTTTGTCTGACAACTGACAGTTACTAGGACATTGCCATATAACAAGTACCAGTTGATAATATAGAAAACTGATGAAATATGTGACAGTTAGTGCATATGCAGAGGGTTTTAATGGAAGCGCTTCAACAACATCTGTACACAAGAGATATGGCTGCAAGCACGTGAGGTTTTAAAATCGAAGTATACTCGTGTAGATGTAACATTTGACGGTTGTTTAATTGCAGCGGAAATGGAGAATTCGAAGCAAATCCAACTGTGATGATGTACCAGTAGCAGTTAGCCTCCTGAAAAGCTAAAAAGCGCGGGATTAAATGGTCTATCCTCTAACCCATTCGAAGGTGTTCGTGAAATAGATAACAAAGGTGCATGCAAACACATATGCAAGTTGCATAAAAGTATTTCAAGTGCTGTAGTTGTATATAAAACTAACAAGGCCCGAAAAGTTTTCGCTTGGTGCCGTTTTCTGCTTTCGAAGATTTTCAAAAATAAGTTAACTTGAAGCTCGTCATGGAACGTCCTATTATTTATAGTTTAATCGTAAAATTTTTTGGAAGGCTTTTAAACGATTACTCGTATAATACAATTTTGACAGTGTGTGTTTTTCAACTTACCACCGATACATTCTGTTTATTGGTTTCACTTTTCTTTTGTTTGCTTTTTAATTTTTTTTTGCAATCGCTATTTAATATCTTTTGCACATCTTCTGTAGAAGAGACATTCTCATTTAGCTGACTCTGTTCTTCTACATTTTCTCTTGCCGAAGATTCCTTCTTACTTGCTTTATGCCTTGTGGCACTATTCTCTGCATCGCCATCAACAATACTGGTGTTACTAGTTATGCTAAGTGTGGCCCCGCTGTTGTTACTTTGATATGCCTTGAGAGTTGACCTTTTCGTTACTTTTCGTGTAGTTTTCATAGTGCCTTCTGACGTGGATAAGATGGCTGACATTGTGGCTAAATTTATGATAAAACAACACAAAAATTTTTCATATATTTTCAGCAACAAATAATATAGGAAGAGCTAAATTATTCACTGTCAGATTGGATCTTCACTGCAATTGAAAATAAATAGTTTAATCCATAAATAAAGACTTAAGGTTTTGTTTGAAAAATACCAAGGTTTTCATTTTACCGCTATATAATAAATATCACTTTGAACCAAGCAAGTTTTTAATAGTTATATTTTGAAAAATGTATTTTAAACTATACAAAATAATATTAATGGCTTTAAGCAACCATTGCTATAAGAAACCAAGCTCATCGGGACGTATGATAAACTCAAAACATCGTCAATAGAACGAAGTCAAAAATACTAAATTCTGACAAAAGCAATGTAATCAATTATAAATTATCAAAGTTAATCCGTAGCTGCATATATATAAATAAATTCATATTATTAAATTTAATATTAATGAAATTTATAAATAAAATGTTTTTAGAGCTAACCAGGTATGTAAATATAAAAATGATACTTAACATGATAAAAAAAACGTAATGAGTAGTTGGTAATAACTTGTATAGCCATAAAAATGATATAAAATAAAATGAGTAGCTTATGTTAGGTAGTTAATCAAAGGATTGATAGTAGTATAAATAATATTTAAATTAAATTAATGTATAAAATAAATGAAAAAAAGTTTAAATTAACATGGTTTTAAGGTTTAGGGTTTTTATTTCTGAACAATTAGATACAAAGCAGGGACAAATACTTGTATGCCTAAGATATGCGAGTGTTGAAAAAACTTGTATATAACGCTGTGCCGAATTGTATTTTACCGTTTGTAACTGCAAACAGTTTTCAAAATATTAATGATGGCCCCACATCGACAATTGAAATGGGTGTAGATGACTTTTTTCCACATTTTGTTGAGGATGACTCGAATCATTGCCACGATCCGAATAATCTTTTTTTGATTGCATCAGTCGCAGGAGAGGCAGAAGATAGTCCAACTTTTGTTGATCACTCTGTGCAAAACTTAATAATAGCGTCTTCAAATAAAAATAAAACTTTTGTAGAAAGGGGAAGTCAAACAAATTTGAGTCTGACAACATTAACAGCTAAAGATCAAAAGCTGATTGAGGAGCATAGGAAGTTGAAGGCTAGCTTAGAAGAAAAGAATAGAAGAATAATTTATTTACAAACGCAGTTGTCAGACGTTAGTTGCAAAAATAATAATTTAAAAAAGGAATTGAAAGGCAAGAAGGAGGGATTTAGTTCAATTTTATTTTTGTGTAGTCAACTTCCGCAAAAAATTAAAACTATTGTAGAAAATACAATAGTTTAAAAAATAACAGTGACACTCCAAATGTCGTAGATAGGACAACTATTTCAAGACATTAGCTTTAGATGTATTCTTTCTGTCTCCTCTAGCTTACAGACACCTAAAGGATCTTTCTAAATGAACCTTTGTCCATTTTGTGTGACAACAAGTCTGACAATACAAATTATATTAATTAAATTATATTTATAGCAATTTCTATCACACTCAGGATTCACTTACCTACAGAAAAGACGACTTTGTCAAGATAGTTTACAACATTGCTTTGGACAAATTAGGAGCGGGGGTGGTAGAAGTGTGAGAATAACACCTTACATGTTCTGTAACTTATTTAAAAAATCATGGGGTTTGCGATATACAAATATAGTTGAAAAAGGAAACTGCGATCCCGTATCATCAAATGAAAATTTTTCTCCAGGTATATCAAACGAAATTCTGCGAAATGTGTGCAACGACAATGTAATGCGGGCTTTATCTTGGCAGGAATTTCAAGGCCTCCCTCGGCCAGAGCATTCATTTAATATAATTAGGTTAGAGGATCAGGCAGAATTTGATGGCGTTGTAGTAGGTGCAATACCACGAATTAGGTCAGTCAATTCAGAAATTGATATTGACATTATCAGCCTCAACAACCGCGCCGTTAGTTCTGCTTTCTCCGGCTTAATAAAGAAGCGAAGCGAATGGGGTAGCGAAGGAGGACAAAATGAAATGTCTCCTGACTGTCTGTGTATATTTCCTTTCACCTCTGGCGTATAGACACCTAAAGCCACTCATTAGGTTTCCCGAAGGGAGCACTCTTGACGAGTTTTTTCGGGATGGCGCCGTGATGCAGATAATAACAATGGTAGTATTAAATGTTTAGAGTTTAGATGGCTTGATTTTAGTCAGGACCAAAAATTCGTGTCAATTTCATGTGACAAAATGGCACTTTAGAGTCATATGCAATATCTGCCGAAATTCGAAAAAATTGTAGTAGTTGAGGATTATGGCGATAAAAATAGTACATGTAGGATAGTAAATAGTGTAATGACTCTTTTGGTTCAAGGCATTGGTGAGGTGCCTTGGTCACACCCTCTAGCATAATTTTTTGTCCATGGCTCTTGCAAGGGGGATGTTGCCAAAAAATATATTATGGAGGCAATAAATCAATTGCAAAATATAAATCTTATACCTTGCCATTTTGTTTGAGCATTAGGAGTTCCAGAAAACCATCCTTATTTTGAGGTTTTTTATGATTGTCCTCACTTGACGAAATTACATCCAAAATCAAAAGAATAAAGTAAGTTTTAACTTGCGATAAGTTGGTCTAACATAATTCACTTTTACGATTAAAGTTAAATTCGTTTCATCTTACAACTTCCAAAAAATGAGTGTCAAACTTGCGGGTCCAGTCTTTAGCGATACAGTTGCATTGGGAATGCCGAGAATTTATATTTCAGGTCATTTGTCTAATCTTTCTTTCAGTTTTTTTCATACCGCTTAATATATTTTATATCAATAAATTGTTTGATATTTTTAATAGTAGAAACCCTGATGCTATTTTGTCTAATAAAGACTGTCTGACATCACTTCACCTTTCAGTTATATAAAGCGTTTGGTTTTTAATATAAATAGTTTGAACCGATTGAGGCGGGGTTTTTATAACATTCAGGCTTTCAACACCTACTGACCAACAGACTTTGTCAAGATAACTTAGAACACATTTTTGGACAAAGTAGGAGAAGGGAAGGGTATGAAGTGTAATGATAACTCCTTATATGCTTAGCAATTTGTTTAAGAAATTTTGGGAACTACGCTACATATATGTAGTTGTAAAAAGAAATTGTGAACCTACTACTCAAAACGAAAGTTTTTCTCCCGGACAGTCTAATCATATAATACAGAGTGTGTGCAATGACCACTTAATACATGATGTGTCTTGGCAAGAGTTCTAAGGTCTTCCAAGACCTGAGCATTCTTTCAATAGAAGAAGGTTAGAACATTCAAATGAAATACTCTTCAAAGTGAACAATTGTCAACGGAATTTTATTTCATTGATGAAAGGCACAAATGTGTAATAGGTGTAACTTTATTAAACCGCCGTAGGAATTTTCGAGATATATAAAATATATTGATAGAATCCTGGAATAGGTATAGGTCAACTTTTGTTTGACAGATCGCCATAATTGCGATACCGACCTGGTTTTTTCGTTGTTTGTTAGGATTCTTATACTTTTCGCTCTAAAGTTCTTTAATAGGAACCTCAGTACCCCAAACTTTAGAGCTAAGATGTTGTGTGTCTCAAACATGTAGAATTTTCATAGGCAATATAGCAACAAGTTTTATAATTCATTTTATTTTCGAGGCAATTTACTTCATCTATTTTTTTTTGCTTCTGTTTTTTTTGTCTTACTTTTGGCTTTTTCGTGGGGAAAAATTTGTAAATATGTATATATGTATATGGTGTTTGAAAAGTATTTATTTCGATTTTTGTTTTTTTTTTTTTGGAAAATTATGAAATCATGTTTGGGACGTATAATAATAAAGAGTTATGTTTATGCAAAATTTATTAAAGAATACAATCTATTAACTTTGTTCATATTGTTGATTAGTGCCTCTGAATACTAATACCGATGTGTAATCGAAACATACCGTTTCTTCTAAACTTTCATTGTTTTTATTTATTAAGTATTTTTGAGCAAATATCTCTGAACATGGCATGTCATGTAAAACGAATGGCAAAATGCAATACCGCGGGCTCGCCAAAAACCTATATTTGTTTAGGACAAAATACTGATGTACATACATATATGCCCTAAGAACCCTCTCCAATACCGAGTATAACATCGAAAACACAAAGTTTGCTGTAGTACCCCCTATTAATATATTCCTGACTATAATGTTATATCAGGCACCTGTTTTTGATAGGAAAGTTACTTGGACAATGTTTACTAATGAGTGCCAATGAGTTGCCGCATTAAAAGTTTCTAGAAAAAAGAAAATTTATCCCATATGTGTCTGAGCTTTAGGGGAAGGAGGGAGAGGATGTTTGAGTGGAGGGATGGTGCTGTTTATGTGATACCCATAAATCGGTTGTGAGCTCCATAGGAAAAAATTAGAGGTGGTGCAGGGTGACCATTAATGTTGTTGTTGTTGTTGTAACCGCAAAAATGTTCTTTTTTCGACAATATGTTTTTATTGGCTGGAGCTGGGCTTTAAACTCCCAGCATAGCACTTCTATTATTTTCATGTAAAATTTAAATATTTAATAATATGAATCCCACCCACTGTTAATAAATTTTTTTTAGATATAACTCGCTTATTGAGCGAGTGCTGCATGAAATTCTGGGAATTTCTGGGGCTGACAAATATCTAAGCATGCAATAACGCAAGCTGTCGAATATCATCCAAGCACCCTGAATTTAGCATTGAATAAATACTTTCAGTTTATTGCTTCACTTTCTACCTTAGAATTAAACTTATGCATATAAGCATACATACGTATGCACATATATATAATTATATATGTACAATTGATTGTTTTTATATTGTTGTTCATTAGTTAACCTGAAGACGATTAACGAAGAGTAGCCAAAATACGTGTATATCGAGAGAAAACATTACTAAAATTGTTTTTACTTATTCGGACCTCAAGCCGGCTCACTTTTTCAATATTTTAATAAATATTATAAATAT